TGGGCGATGATGCTGCTGCTGTCGTTGGCATTGTTGGGAACGCACACACATACACACACGCACACACTAACACATACAAACAGAAATTTATATGTATATGAATACATATCAATAAAGTAAACAAATGGAGACGGGCATAAAGTACAATCGAGCACAATAACAACCAACAATGCCACATAGAACAGGACACAGGCAAACAGAAAACAATAAATAAAAATAAAAATCTATTTGCTTCGCCAGCGAAAGTCTTGAATTTGTTGGCCTCCTGCAGGTGTCTGGGCATAAATAATTTGCTTTCGATAAATTTCGGGCATTCGAATTTCCCATGAATGTTCAATGACCAAATAATTGTGCAAAACGACCAAATAGAAAGGAAATAGAAACTCATATAAAATCTAGAATGCTACACAACTCGTGCAAACAAAAGTGGTGGCATTTGCAACATTCTGGCAAATATCTGAGGCAGGATTTACTCGAGAAATTCATAAACATATTTGCATATCTAAGTACAGAAGTAAAATAAGAGCAGTGAATTATTTAAACAAATAAAAAGAGCCCGAAAATTGTTTACTATCATAGGTAGAGGCTTTCGAATGGTTAGAAATGTTAGCAAAATACTCAAAAGCACTTGAGCTTGAAGGGATTCATCAGAAGTAAGTGGTAATCGACCAAAATCTGGAAATCAGAATGTACTTTATTCGACTCAAATGCCTATTCAGCTTCTTCTTTTCAGCAGCCTGTCGCTCCCTGATTGTGGTTGAGTTTTGTTTAGTCAAAACTAAATTCTTTATCATACTATAGATTTTGTTCATTTATCAATTTCCTAACATAAGAAGGCACTTGGTGTCATCTTTTTTCAGCAGTTAATTATCAGTCCTAGACTACAGCAGCACGCATTTTAATCTTGTTATTTAGTAAACTTCTTGACTGGATGACAGCCTACATGCCTTTGTTAGTTTTAAGTTCAAATTTTAATGAGCTGCTTATGTCTTTTCTGTATTTTGAAAAGTATTTCACACCTCGCCATTTGCTAGAATATACGGATATTAAATATTCACTTTTTACATAACAACGTCTCCTTTATTTAGGTGTAAAATATTTATGGCAACAACTAATTCACAGTTGCCCCAATTAGGCAAGACTCAAGCACTTCCCAATGTATTCAATATTTCATCTAAAGATAATAGAAGCAGAGTATTCCTTTAAGTGATTTAAAATATGAATATATAAATCATTGTAAAAATAAATTATAATTGCCTTCTGGGACAATTTTATTTGAATAATTGAGCATTTTTCAGGCCATCAGCTATTAATAACACAGAAGACCTGTGCAAAATTTGCATAAAGTACAGACCTACTTATTATGCAACTTCTTATTCATGATCTGTGTGTTTTAAATGGTAATACAAGTATGCGTGTTGTCTTATCAAAATACCACAAGCATCTTAACAATGTGCTGCTGCCGAGCAATTAATCTCATTTCAAACTGTACAAATCCGGTTCAGCTCTATGCCAATAGCGAGCTAAATTTGTTATTTAGTTAAATTTATGGCTTTGTGCTCGACTTGATGACTGCAGACAAATTTCTGCGCCTGCGGTCGATGGTGCTAAAAATTAACGCTCGGCTAATTTACATAGAAAACAGATGCATCAAAAAGACTTGGCCAACAAAATGCCACAGATTAATTTACTGTCTATATGTACGAGTATGTGTTTGCGTCGACCCAACACAATTAGTCAATTGTCATAAGCTTTTAAGGCCCTTAAGTGCCACTAATGCCTCACTAGGCATTCCATCATAAAATGTTTAACAATCTCTATGCAAATAAAAGCGCTCTCTTATTTTTGAACAAGAACCCGTTTGTTTTGGCTCAATAAAAACTATAAATTAAATATACACATTCAAATAAATTAGGCATTTTTGTAACGCCCAATTTGTTAAAAAGGTAAATTTTCTTGCATTATAAATATTTTTTAAATATATTTATGAGTCTGTTGTAGACTATTTCCTTCTTTTCTTTATTAAAGTTCCTGGTAATTAGTAGTTGGCGAAATAAGTATGTAATAGTACGTATAAGCTACTTGGGGGCACTTTAAGTTCCGATTAAGGAGGAGTAAAAAAATTAAAATATAAGCATTGGAAATTATATTTTATAGTTGTGTTTGAAAAGAACCCGTTTGCATGGGCAATAAAAAAATTAATAAATATATACATACACATATAAAATTTAATAAACGTTGGAATCTTGAAATACCTCCCGCAACCACGGCTGCTGGGCTTGGATATCAAGTATCAGGTAGTCAGGAAGTAAACAAAACAACAACACAAGCAACAAGAATCTGGTTGTCAGATTAAAGAGCAGCTTTCGAAAACAACCGGGTGTTAAGACGAAATGACAGACGAAATCAAAATAAAATAAAATGTCAACTGCAACAAATTACATCCGCTATAAGCAGATATGGGAAAGGGAAGAACTAAAACTACATCTTGTTTATACTATAACACACATAAATCAAAAGATACACTTACAAAAATTTAATACAAATACAATATGTTGAAAATATGTTAATCAAATCAATACCCAAGAAAACAAACAAACTGTTAGCTGAAATATATTATTTCTTCTTTGTTTTTTAATTTAATAATAAAGAATCTACACAATTTTTTAAAGTAGGTGAAAGAATTCGCGTATTTTAAACTAGTTTTGATTTCTTTCTTTCTGATTTATTTTTTATAGTGTTTAGGCAGCCGCTTGTATCGCCCATGAACCGGCAAGAGTTCAGAGCGTTGATACGACCCATCAGCTGGAAACTAAAACAAGTAGTCAGGTGGACTGGACGCTGCATTTGGCAGAACATAAAAACAAGAGTTGAAACAGAGCCCAGACCTGTGTTCCAGATCTCGAAGACAACCTAAACAGCCCCAACTTAGAGCTCACCGGCAAGCAACCTGTCTGAGGCAGAGAACCCACTCGTCTTAATCCGGTTATTAAACTTTACACTGTGCCGACCGCGGGTCTCTCTGAAAACTCAGGTGCTCACTGGCCACGTTTCGCATTCTTATGCTCTTTTAATTTGGTTCATTTTAGCTTGTTTTAGCGGCGTACCATCTGCTTTTGGCTATAAAAGCAAATCGCATGCGCAACTTCGCCTTTAGTCCAATCAAAATTTTCGAACGCGTTAATACAATTTTTGACGCAACATGTCGCTTCGTAAATTCGTAAGTGTTGAGTCGTAATGCAATATTTTAAGCTATTTGAGTGCATTGAGTGCCGGCCTTCAATCAAAATTTCCATGAATGCGATGTGTTTGAATCCAAATGACTGATTATGGTGATGCCTATAAATGACATTAATTAAATATTGAGATTAAGATGGGAGAAGATAATTGAATATTGGGGCAAACGATGAAATACAAAACAAATCAAAATTCCATGAGAAATACATATTTAATAGATTTCATTTGTTGGTGGATCTTAATTGAAAACAAGCGAAAATAAATTTAAAAGTTAATTAATGTGTGTCGAAGCTGTGCTTATATAACATAGATTAAAAATGCAAATATAAAAACAATATAAATTTAAAAATACCTGCGATATGCAAATATCTAAATCGTTTGCATTTACTGAGCAGAACATTGCATAACAAATGTTAAAAACAAAAATGAAAATAGTTTTAAAACATTTAAGCGAGCATAAAGTCAAAGTGAAGATTAGATATTCCGATTTGTTGCTAAGAGATCAAAAAAGTATACAATAACGAATTCACATTCTAAAATAACTTCAATATGACGTAGATCATGTCTATATGGTTATGCATCAAATTGTTTATGGCCAGACAATAGGATCTGTCACTAAGCAAACAAAATTGAATTAAACAATAATTTATGCCACTTGTGTTGAAGCAATATGACGCAAACGGAATCTGAAAATTTATGCGCTTCATATGCAAAACAGGGCCTTCTTTTTATCTGAAGTGTGAATCTAAGAATCATAACCATAAAACAACAATCCACTGAGCAGACAAACTCGAGTTCAATTAACTGCCAAAAGAAGTTATGCTTTAATTCAAGGTGTGAATAGTTCTATTAGAACTCAAGTGCTAATAGGTTTAATGAACTAACTGGCAATCATAATGAAGGCTTGTGGCACATGTAAGGTACTTTTTATGCTTAGGCTCAAGATAGCACTGTTTGTTTCCAATTCATGTTAATTATTAAAGCTATCGAACGTAATTTATAAAGATAATATTAAAAGATATCCAAAATTAAAATGAAGGCATTTTAATTGAAATACTGACAATCTTTTTAAAGAAACTTTAACGAAATATTGGTTGCCTTTTTTATTTTACATCAATTTTGAATATAGTCTACATGCTATTGAACAGATTTGCAACTCTGAAGGGTATTTCAATTTAGAAAAGCCAGCTGCAATCTTATTGTAGTTTTGCCAAAAATATGACAGTTTCACGAAACATGTGCGCTTCATTTAAGGAAATGCCAACTGACCTTCTGCGTATAAAAAATCACCATCTATAATCTATTTAAATTTTATTCTATGAGAAAGTTGATTCTTTAGCTCATAATACAAGGTTACTACAAGCTCCAGTTTACCCTTTCACGCAGACATTCTCACTTAGTCAAGGCTAAGACGCGACTAGCGCGTTGAAAGATCGTTAAGGCGCCCACTCTATGGCAATAATTAAGACATTTTGACAGGCATAAACTATACACAAAACAAGCTACTATAGGTTGCCAAAAATTAAAACCAAACATAGACAAAGACCTAAAATTGTGTGCAAAGCGTAAAGCTTAAACATTTTGGACTAATTTTTTAATAGCATACACACACTCGAAAATTGGTGTGAGAAGGCTTCCGAAAATATCAAAGTCACGAAAATCACATTCGACGCTACATAACTCATAATGATGGTATTGCCAAACTGACCTAACTAACTATTTTACAGTTATTAATCGCAGCTGTTGCTCTGCTCAGCCACAAAATGCGCCCATGCTCGGCCGATGTGTCGGAACTAAGTGGCTTGCCAGCAGACCCAAAAGATCTATTGGTGCCGTTCAATGATTTATTGCCACCGCTATTCGAAGAGGCGAGCACTACCACAACAGCAGCTGCTGTAGCAGCAGCAGCAACAACTACAACAACGTCGACATCAACAACAACGACAACGACTACAGCTAAGCCAGAAACGACGACAGCTTCGCTTTTCACCAAGCCCACAAAAAAGTCCTACTATCATCAACAAATGCAGCACATCAAGGAGCTGCATCTAATCGATGATGACGTAAAAGTGACGCACGACCAGACGAAGCCCAACGTGAATAAACAAGAGATACAGTTGTTATCGTTGGAACTATTGCCTCCATTAGAAGAGGTGGCCAGCAATGATGTGCCAAAGACTGAGGCTGCAGACACATCCGCTCAACATGTTGCCAGCACAGTGAGCATAACACAAGATGCTGCTAAGCCGGCGCTAGCTACCACGCAGCATGTATCCAGCTTCGTCAACTTACAACAAGCCGGCAAGCCAGCTGTAACAACCACGCAGCATGTATCCAGCTTCGTCAGCTCACAACAAGCCGGCAAGCCAGCAGTAGCAGCCACGCAACATGTATCCAGCTTCGTCAGCAACCAACGCGTTGCTAAGCCACTGAAAGTAAGAGCTACGCCACTTCCGCTTGTTCGCCAGAGCAACATCCTCGCGTCATCATCATCATCATCATCAGCTTATAGTCATGCGGCAGCAACATCATCTTCACATTTCAACGCGCCCCTCTCCGCTGCCCTCATCGAGCAATACGCCACGTATTTCCAGCACAGCACGCCGAGGCCGAGACGCGGTCCACTGCCAACACTGACGCCTTTTCCCCGCCACCTCAAGTAGCTAATTAATTAAATTTAATTGTAAGACAAAACAGCAGACACAAAAACACAAACACAATGCAAATTTTCAAATAAATTAAAACAGCACAACAACAACTGCAACAATGAACAAGCTTGCGAATGTGTGAAGACATTGAGATCTTTATAACCAGCAATTTTTTGATGCAGACAATGTACTATGTAGGAAAAGCTGCTCTTTTGTTAAATATTTAACTTTGGCTAAACAATAATTTAATAAAATAATATCATTTAGATAAACACAACAAACATTTGAATGCTCTCTCTCTCTCTCTCTCTCTTTAAAAAATGTAATGGTAAATGGTAAGCAATTGTATATTCGTATTAAATGTACTGTTGGGAAATGTTGTAGGATTGGAAAACATCTAAATGTATATAAAGAGTTAACGCTACTTGTGCTTGAAGTTATAAAAATTACTTTATACATGTATATTTCTGTTTCATAGCGGATTGAACACTCTATGACTATATGTATATTAAAAAGAACAATCCATCCAAGTAATCCGCTTCTAGGTTTAAAATAACCTTCATCGATTGGTTGCGTCTCTTCTCTATAGATTATCAATTATTTATATACTTGTAGTTTGCGTGTGTTACTAAGTACCGATATTAGATAGTTGATAAAAATATCATTAAAGCCACTTGGCAATGTAATTCAAAGTAAATCTGACTTGCAATTCGATACACTACATTTTAGAATAGAAAATTGATTTCATTGCACTTTTTATAAAGGATTCGATACTGCATTAATAGAAATTCAAATGAATGCAGGATTGCATATAGGAATGGTTCCAAAACTGAAACCGACAATTCCAATCCAACAGCGCTTTCCATTACTTATATTTACGTTACCAAACTCTTACAATTGCTTATTATTTACTTGTAAAGTTTCTAACATCTTAAGCGCACAAACTTGATGTCGTAACACACAAATATAAATGTATTATACTTTTTTTTTTTATTAAATACTTCAAAAATATGCTATATATTATTTGTAATCGAATTAAAATGCATTATCTTAATACTATTTTGTGGCCAATATTAATGATTCTTATACTGATACGATTTGGTGCTTAGATCATAAAGTGTTTTAAAGAAAAATACTATACCGATTTGATATCGTACTTAGACCATAAAGTACAACAAATAGAACTTGTCGTTTTTACTGCAGTCGAAACTACTTCTATGTTATTTCTACTCCGATACCACTTCAGTTTCAACTAAAGGCTTCAATGTATGTGAGAATTAAAATCAGCATTTCCTCCTTATCAATTTATTTTACATTTTTCGAATTTTCCTCTTTCTCCCCATTTATGTAAGCATCATCAAAAATGTGTGATAACCGGTTGAGTTAGAGTAGGAGAACGAGCGGAATTTGTCATGCAGTGGTGTTTAATTAATTGCCGGCGTCGCCAACTGACACTGGAAGCCGTTGGCAGCTTCAAATATCTCGACCTCAGGCAATCTGTTTATGCGACGCCCGCCCCTCCTATTCGACCATTCTCCGCCGTTTGTTCAACCTGTTAGACGCCAATTATTGCCGGCTGTGTTTGCCGTTGATGATGTTGCTGACATTAGATCTCAGGCACTATTGGGCGCGCAATTGAATCGCGTTGCAGCCAGAATCGTCGCCTTCCTATAATCAAATCAGTGCCAGACAGATTAGCCACATTTATGGGCTGCTTACACATATACGAGTACGTGTATTTCTGTGCAATAGTTTGGGCAGCCATTTGTCATTGTGTGTGTATGTCTGTGTCTGTGTTGTCTATTTAAACGCGTTAATTATACAGCTGATTGACATTAATGCGAAGCCAAGCGACGTTGAATTCGTTGCGACTGATTTAAGCCATTTAGCCTCAGGCGCGGTCGCAGTTCATCTGCCACCACGGTCAGTAGCCAATGAATTGGGAGGTCAGTCAAAAGTTTGCCGGCAAACATTTTTCATTGATTAATGATATTAACATCAATTTAATAAGCCAGAATATGCATTTAATTAATGTTTCATTCACATCGCTTATCCCCCTTTATTGTAAACGCCAACAACAACAACAACAAATGAATGAAAGTCAAATGTATTGGGTTTTGATAAAATTAAAATTAAAAGCCTTTATGAGTTGCCTATCTTGTGATGTTAAAATAATTAATTACACGGCTTAAATGGTTCAGTTGACATTATTTGTGGCCTCTCTCCTCTCTCTCCGTATTGGGATTATAGAGTGCGATAATGCTACGCTACTGAATGTAATGAATACAGTAGAGTTTCTGAGAACCGCCTATGGCCGTATGAAACAAAATGAAATCAAAACTTTTTTGTATTTCAAGTTCTCGTGGAACCACAAGAGTTTTAAACAGAAATTATATGTTCAGTCATGTGATAAAAGGTCGAAAAATTCCTTACCGATTGAGCTCAATTTTTAAAGCATTGTAAACATTGTACAAGTATTGCTTAACTCATCGTTGTACCGAGGAGAACACTGTCCTTACTAACCCATGGCGGAACATGTGTTATAAAGTGATGCAGCTCCCCGATTAAACATATTCACTATTTCATCCAGTCCATATTTTCGATTGAAATGTATTACTGTACTGCCATAATTCATTACTCATCTCCATCTGCGTATGTTTTATGTGATTTCGTCGTGAATTAGCTGTGCCGTTCGCCATAGGTTATGTTTTGTACATTTGTTTCAAACATTATTATGAACATGTTTATGTAAAAACGATTAGAGAGCTCACTGGAAGCCAGCAAAAATGTATACAAATAGACCAACAAGAACATCACTTAAAGCAAAAATTCAAGCATATGTACATTAAATAAAATTATCATCAGTGAAAAAAGCTTGAAATATTTGGCAAAATGAACATATTTCTAATAATAACAAACACAACGTAAATTTACTCAAATCACTTTGGTAATTGCGGCTTAAAAATACTTGTAACAGCAATGAATGAAAAGCGCTGATGTATGAGGTAAATAATAATTCAATCAGCTTATTTGCTTGTTCAGTTTTTACAATTCTTTGGTTTATTTAATTTGTTGATTCCTTTGTTTAATACATAAATAAATAGTCTTGTGTACCATTCCTATTGTATAACCTAAAAAGAACAAGCAGCGGAAGCGCTAAACTTTAAGCACATTAACAAAAAATTAACTAAAGGAATGTTACATAAAAATATAATACATATACTTGTAATAATAATAATGATTCATCTAAATGTTAGTATACAATTAGTTCGATACAATTAAAAAATTAAATTAATATTAGCGTAATAATTAAAAACCAATCTAATAGTACCTTTAGGATACGATAAGGTTTATAAATAAAACAATAAAAATAAGAGAGAACGTTATAGTCGAGCAAGCCCCACCGTGAAATACCCTGTACCCAGACACATTTCCAGCACTGCATTATATGCGTTGCTAGCAAATCAAAAATAAAAATAAAAAAAAAAATACCAGCTTTTAGTTCTTAAGATCCTTGCGTTTATCCAGTCATGTCTAGATTAATTTATCTCGTCATGCTGATTAATAATATATAAACTTTATGGGGTCGGAGATGCTTCCTTCTGGCTGTTACATACTTTGCACAAACCTAATATACCCATTTTACCATACAGGTACAGGGTATAAAAAGAAAATCGTTATAGGAACTCATATATTGTTGACTAAATATTTTTGTAACTTCTTTGACGTTCACATTTTGTGTTGCTGAAACGAAATGCGTGTCTGAACTTGGCTTTAAGAGCAGCTGCGAAATAAATATTATAGTTTAATAAATAAAAATATCATTCTCAGGCATTTGCAAATGTTCAACTGAAAGCTTTATTTATTTGATAAGCATAAAATGATAAAATTCAGATGCGAATTTGAAATTCAACATTTTCAAATGCACAGAAACACATAAATCGTAAATATTTCAGCTGTTGTTACTGCAATTATAGTTGCATATTTGTTGTTGTTGTTGTTGGGCGACATGCAACTAAACAGAAAATTGAAAAATTAATATATTTACTGGAAAAAAGTATTTTATTTTATTTGCAAATGCATACACCAACACACACAAATAAGCAAAGTGTGCACGCAAAAAATAAAATCACAGCTTGATTTCATTTCAGATACAGATATGTGGAAAACTTGCTGCTGTTCAGTTATTGTAACTTTTCAATTAAAACCCTGACAGCAAGTCACAGCAATGCAAAAATAATTCATGCGCAAAATTCTCATACACATTTGAATTTGATTAGAAAATGTGTGCAAATGCTGGTTGAAAACTTTTTAAGCATGACATTTGATAGTTGATGACAGTTTTGTAACTGCCGTTGGAAACCGATGCTGGCAAAACTGCTGCAAAATCACTTAATTCCCGATTTAATGCCGCACTAATGTGCATCAGCTAATTAGAATAAGCACCGAAAAATAAGTTAATTCAAATAAATATAAAAGTAGACTGCAAAACAGCTTAAATTGCAATGCAAAAATGTCAAAAACGATGCGCTCATTAAAAAGTTTTTCGTCTGACTCCGATGCGAGGAAGGCCATTAGATGTCGATGTCAGATGCCGTGCGCTCGCCAATGGCAGTGGCAATGATATTCGGCCACGCACCACTCATCCCTTCGCGTTTATTGTGGTGCTGTGGTGCCGCGTGTGGATTTTGAGGCTGCATTAAAAATCGCTTTTAACAAATGGTGCCATAAGCTCTTAGTCAAACTTTTAATGTGCAAACACACACTCTCCTCCACATACACATAAAACACACACATACGCGTCTGTTTGTCACGCTTGTGTGCGTATGTGAGAGATTTATGTAGTAACGCGTGGCCAACGCGGCGTATGAGTGCTACAAAGTATATTCAACTTTTGCACGCAGCTTAAAGTGCTACACACACACACACAGTCACACATACTCGTACATACCTAGGCATATAAAAATGTCTAGACTTCTTCACATTACTAACAGAATTCTGTCTGGCTATTAGAA